ATTTATTGGCTTTTTTTTTACTGTCCAGCTCTCACAGTCATACATAGTAAATTGGAATGCAACAGCATGGATGATCTGGGTCCTGCTCTCCAGTGACACATCCTGACACTTGCCAGTCTTTTCTAGCTGCCCTGCAGTGCTGCACTTATGCATGAACCAAAGTCCACAGTCCTTCAAAGTTTCAGTTTCTTTGCTGTCAGCATTGAAGTTGCATAGTTGCTCCGTAGTCATGATTTATGTCTTCTTAATGTTCATCTATAGTCATGGTTTGGCACTTGCTTCTTTCACCTTCACAAGAAAAGTATGGGGGGGAAAGAGTTCGCTGAACTTTTCTCTAGCTGTGTTTTCGCTAATGCCAGGCACAAATGGCCCTTTGAAATTCTGTACCCTACATGTAGCAGAGAAACTGGGAGTCCATTTCATCAAACTTTTGTGGAAGAAGGAGCAATTCTGGAGTAGTTTATCTGAGGTAGAGCTTCCGTCCACCCCATCCAGTGAAATAAGAATACAGTATTTGAAATTCTCATATGAGACATTTTCTGCACCACACATGTTTTTTTGCTTAGAAAAGTCTTTCCAAATACTTTTCACCTAGAAAGGAAAAATATACAGATATTGCTATCTTTTTGCCCCAAAAGGGAAAAAAACATCTTGAGTAGGAAGAACAGCCAGAAGGGAAATATAAACAGACTCTTCATCTGCCATTCACCTATTGAAACTCACAGCCTCAGAAATCGTTCTCACTTAAAACAAGGAAAACTATAGAGAAAAGATACACACAATTGCATGTACTATCTAGGCTTGGTGCCATTTGCAACAATAATCTGATTATCTATGTTAAGAATTCTAGTATTAAGAAGGTAGAAATCATCTTTAGAAACTATTTTAGTTAAAAAGAAAAGAAACAAGGTTGAAGAGAGGCACTTTGTAACTAAAACTCTTTGTAATCGTACACATGGCAACCTGATATTTCTTCATTTCAATTCTCGACTTACGAACGGCTCGACATACGAACGTTTTGACTTACGAACTGCTCTCATAGGAGTATATGGACTCGACTTGCGAACTTAGATTCGAGTTACGAACTCTCTTTTTCCCCCTTTTTTTTAAAGCTAAGTCATCTTAGGTTAAAAGGAAAAAAATCCCCCTCTAGTGGCAGAAGGCGGAATAGCAGCTTCCCATTGGTTTCTATGGACGAAAAGAGCAGATACGGATTAAATGGTTTTCAATGCATTCCTATGGGAGATGCAGATTCGACTTAAGAACTTATCGACCTGAGAACTGCCTTCCAATATGGATTAAGTTCGTAAGTCGAGACCCCACTGTAATTCTTTATTTTTCAAAAAGCTCCATACACACTAAAATGACTGAACTTTAAAAGCTTTAAAAGTACATTTTATTTAGTTATTTTCAGCTTTTATGCAAGAGCAACCCATGGTCTAAGCCAAGGATGCACCTGGAATAACACTGTGAAACACTCTCACCAAACTCAAACCATGGATCTCCAATACTTTTACATGTTGAATTTCACTCATTGGTACACTTCCATTTTCTCATGACAGAACTCTTTAGGCTTCTTTAGTCACTGTCTGGGCTCAGATGTAATGAAATTTAATTATATTAAAATCAATGAATAGTGTGTTTTCAGTGGCAGTCACCATAGTTGTATAAGTTTAGAACTGAGTGATTTTTTAAAACTTAATACTTATTATTTATTTGATGTTTCCTCTGAGACAAAGCAATGCAATGCAAAATATTGTTGTACCAGTTCATTTTTTTTCTCTCATGAAGAAGTTGGGTTATATACATAACTTTGATAGATAACCCCCTCTGAACTTCCTCTGTTTTTACCAGGTCTTCAGAGTCAATTCTACAGAGGAACTTGAAAGAATAACAAAAAACTGGATCACTGCTGAGCATCTTGGCATATCAAACAAAGCTCTGAAAGACAGTACACATTCCCAGGAAGATGGCAGTCCTTTCCTAGGGATGCCAGCCTCCTTGATCCCTGGATTATCTGAAGAGCCTCAGAAGATTACATTGCTTCTTCAGCCATTAAAGCAAGTGGTTGTACCCCCAGCCATGAACAAGACTTTTATCAGTGACAATAGCTGGAAAACCATGGGTGAGACGCAAGAGAAGCGGAAATCTTTTCTCCAGAATTTCTGCCGAAAACATGTTGTTAGTGAAAACAGACCCCAGATCCACCTTGTACGCATGGTGTCCAGGATATATGTGGAAGATAAACATAAACTCTTGTATTGTGAAGTCCCCAAGGCCGGCTGTTCCAACTGGAAAAGGGTTCTGATAGTTCTCAGTGGCCTTGCCAAGTCTGCAGCTAATATTACCCACAATGCTGTGCACTATGGAAAGCATCTGAAGAAATTAGACAGCTATGATTTAAAAGGCATCCACATGCGTTTAAAGACATACACCAAAGTTATATTTGTAAGGGATCCCATGGAAAGATTGGTATCTGCATTCAGAGATAAGTTTGAACATCCCAACAGCTACTACCATCCTGTATTTGGTAAGGCCATTATCAAGAAATACAGATTGAATGCAGGCAGAGAAGCATTGACAGCAGGCTCAGGAGTAACATTTAAAGAGTTTGTGAAATATTTACTTGACTCCCATCGGCCAGTAGGTATGGACACTCACTGGGAGCAGATCAATAAACTTTGCTATCCCTGTTTTATCAACTATGATTTCATTGGTAAATTTGAAACTTTGGAGGAAGACGCCAATTATTTTTTGAGACTAATAGGTGCACCAGAGGGACTGGTGTTTCCTAATTTTAAAGACAGGCATGCCACCGACAAAAGAACAAATTCAGAAGTGGTTCAACAGTATTTAGCAGAGATTCCTGACAAAGAGAGGCAACAGACATATGACTTTTATTATCTGGATTATTTGATGTTTAACTATACTGTACCATATGCACAGCCCTAATCTAGTTTAATGCTCAAGCAATTTTATCATTTAGCTTTTCGGTAGTAAAAACATGACTTTTTAAATGGAGATGTTTTGAGTCACTGAAGTTTCCATAAGCTAAAGTGACATCAGCTAGCACAAGTTACAGCAATAATGGAAAAGAAAAATTAATTGCACTGGAATGTTTGGAGAAAAAAAAATCCTGTTATATTAGACAGTTTTAGAGACTACTATATATATATAATGTGAATGACTTTAAATCAGGCATTTAAATCATAATGATTTGAAAAATCTCCACATTAGCATGATATTATTGCAACTATTCATCTGCCATGTATCATGAATGTATTTTGTACCTTCTGGGGAATATCAGTTAAATGCCAGCTTTTTCAACAAATTTACACACTGTTCATTAAGCATTTGTTGTAGCTGGAAGTGTCAGATAGATCCCAAATCTGCACAGAAAAAAATGGCTTTATCCTATGTTTGTATTCACATGGAATCTTGTTATAAATGCAGCTGTTGCATCAAGTACCCACTGGGGAACATGGACAATATAGTTCACTATCACCCATCACTCACCCTGAATCTGTGGTGGGCAAAATGCAGTCCATGGTATATATGCAGTCCCACTCTTGGGGCCTCCACCATGCTCCCCCCCACCCAAGCTTCTTCTGTCTGAGTATGTATGGAAACTTCACCAGGCCTGAGTAGGGTGAGGGAGTACAAATGCCGAAGTGACTTTGCTCAGCAAAAAAAAAGGGGGGGGGAGGGAGTCAGGGTATTCAGAAGAGGTTGTCAGCTCTATCTTAGTCTTATAAAGTTTGGAGGCACTGGGAGTAGAGTAGCCTTGTGAGGTATGGTGCAATGTGTGCACACCCCCTAGAAGTATGGCATCTCCCCATCCTTTCCCTAGTTGATTAGTGCTGTTGCTGGTTTCCTTGTAATTTCCATGTCCAGTTTTCACATCATGCAAACTGGTCCAGGGACCATTTTACACATATAGTTCCCCACCTACTTATAGATACACATATGGGATTCTCATTCCACAGGTACATCTCCCTTACCTGCCTATTAATTAATTGTAATTGTTAAAAATAATACAGAATTGGCTCCAGCTTAAAGGCTTCCAAGTTCTTGAACTGCACCACACAAGCTCTAGCCACAGACCTCACAATCTGAAATTGCCTTAAACTGTGCTGTGCATCATGTTGCTATGCCCTGCCTCACCTTAAGGGAAATTTGAAACTGGAGATCTGTTCATTTGTTTAGGTGTTTATACTCTATCATTCCAAGTCAAAGAGTAGATGCATTAGCAACAACTCATATTCAGAAATGCATGCATGGTGCTATCTTTGAAGACTCTTTCGAATCTTTTTTTGTTCCTAAATACAGCATGTGCCAGCAAGACGGTGTCAATGCAGATGCATGAACTAAAAAGCCAGGCTAACCTCACCTTACCCTTCACTGCTCCCAATTCTTCACATGTAGAAAGCTAAATCGTAAGAAGAAAACCATCTCTAGCCATAGGGGACTCCCATGTGAACTGGAAGGCCTGAAAAATCTGCTCATGTGTTTAGATTTATCCTTTTATTAAAATCTTAAATAGGAATAATGTCCGGGGGCATTTGCGCATCGGATCCTCTAAAGTCTGTCTACAACAGTTGCATGGGTGAACAATCTGTTTCAGGGCACAGTTCAAAATTCTGGTTTCCCAATTTTAAAGCTCTAGATGCTTACAATCTAGAATACGTACTTAGGGGTTTGTTGGTTTTGATCTTGGATGGCAAGAAACAGGTTTCATCTAGGAAAGCAATACATACCAGGAGAGCATGTAGTAAAACAGCCATGGTAATTGATTTCTGTTTGGATGAGATGTGGGAAACGATGACAAACCTAGACAGCATCTTAAAAAGCAGAGACATCACCTTGCCAACAAAATTCTGCATTAGTCAAACCTATGGTTTTTCCAGTAGCGATGAATGGAAGTGAGAGCTGGACCATAAAGAAAGCTGACCGGTGAAGAATTGATGCTATTGAATTGTGGTGTTGGAGGAGACTCTTGAAAGTCCCCTGGACTGCAAAGAGAACAAACCTATCCATTCTGAAGGAAATCAACCCTGAGGGCTCACTGGAAAGACAGATGCTGAAGCTGAGGCTTTTATACTTTGGCCATCTCATGCGAAGAGAAGACTCCCTGGAAAAGACGATGTTGGATAAGTGTGAGGCAAGAGGAGAAGGGGACGACAGAGGACGAGATGGTTGGGATGGCTTGATTGTTGAGAAAATTGCACTCTAATATTATTGAACAGTTACATCTTGAGAGCTCCATATTCCATTAGGAGGCTGAGTGTAAAACTAGATCACTGCAGCAAAGCATAAGGTGATGTTACATATTGCTTTTCATGCCTGTGTCAAGAACGTGCCTTTAGGAGAAACGTGTCTTAAGGATAAGGACAAAGCTCTACCAGCCACCTGCCAATGTGTATTCAGGAAAGCACTGTTTGTCTTTTGTTTATTTGAACTTACAGAAAGGAATTTACAACTCATCAAGTCTTAGCCTGGTAAGAACCCAAGAAGAAGCTTTCATGGTTACAAGATACAAGAACTTCAAGAATTGTTCCCTGATAGGTTCCCAAGAATTCTTCTCTTGCTGAGGTTCATCCTTGGTGTTGCCTTTGGATACATGTTGATGGTAATATCTGCCTGAAGAAAACCCAGTGCTCTTATCTACTACATGAATGGCTACTAGTCTTCCTGAAGCACACCATTTTTAAGTTTCCAGTTGGTTGCACTTCTTCTTGTCCTTTTCTTAGACAGAAGAAACATACAAGGATACATTTTGGCACTGATGCCGCAAATAAAGGCAGTTTACAAAACATTATGTTCTGTTCTGGGAAGCTGTATTTTTTCCTCCTGTTGTTCCTTCTTTGTACTTCTCCTTCATCTGTTGACTTCCTCTGCTTCCAGCCCCTTCTTTGTTCTCCACAGAGTTACCAGCAAGTTCAAGTCACTTTCTCGCTCAACTGGATGCAGATCTGCATAGCTAATGTTCAGGAACAATAGAGCCTAAAAGCACATTGGAGTCTACAAATATCCAATTCTTATGACTATATATTGTTTTACTGTTAAAAAAAATGTAGAATACCAAAGAAAAACACTACATTGCATAGTTGTTGAGATAGTCAAATTGGTATGGAAATGGAAACAATAAGCTACTTTTATTGAGTTGAAGTTCAGTAATTATCACATGTTAATATTAAAAATCCCTAAAAACTAGAATAATCACAAATTCAAGACATAATGGCTTATGTGCCAACAAGTCATCTCTAACTTAAGCAACCCAGTTAGGGCTTCCAAAGTACACAAGATATTGAACTGCTAGCTAGCTCAGTGGTTTCGTTATCTGGCTGTGGGGCCAGAAGTTAGGAGTTCAATTCTCCACTATGCCTCCTTGCCAGCGGCTTGACTTACCAGGAGTTTGATTCTCCACTGTGCCTCCTTGCCAGCGGCTTGACTTACCGTAGGTGATCCATATGGTCCCTTCCAGCTCTGCCGTTCTAAGGTTATTATTTTATGAGTAGTTTTACCACTTTACACAGCCAAGGAGGGATGTAAGCCCAGGTCTCCTGAGTGTTAGTATAATATTCTATCCATTACACTATACTGGTTCTCTAAGTAAGTATATTTTGAATTATTTTAATATATTTCATAAGGTGATGTGTTAATGTAAAACATTAATGTTACATTGTAGTCCAAATAGCTTGTGATCTACTCCTTTGGTCAAAATGAGGGCAGCCCCTGAATTGGAAGGAGAAACATTTATGCCAGAGCTTTGGCATATTTTTTGGACTATAGCTCCCATATTTCCCCAGCCAGCATGACCATGGACTTACTGGCTGGGGTGTCCTAGGAGCTGTAATCCGGAAAAGTAACTCTGATTCCAAACTCTGATTTATGTTGATAATTACTAAGGATATGCTCAGCAGAAACTCGTGTTTCTGTTTAGTTTGTTTTCTTGGGAGGGGTGTGTGGAGGCAACACAATCTTCTGTTTTTTTGTGTTTGTGTATCACTCCTGGCATTCAGCACAAAAGAGGGTGTCTCTTTCAGGTAATTTCATTTTGTTTTTCCCCATTTGGCATCAGGGAGGTCAAAGGAGAGAGGGAGGAAAGTGCAGGGTTGGCTGAGCAAGGAGGCCCCTGGCAGCTGTAGCACAGGCAAAGGGAGGGAGGCAAAAGAGAGAGTGGGCAGCCTATGTGTCGGAATATCTGTGGCTGGGACCTCCATGGACTGGATGAAAGCGATAAATGGAGTGAATGCAGTATAAACATGGAAGACCTGTGTTACTGTCAGTTGTTCAAAGGAATGATTACTATTTCTGAGGCTCTCTTTTGGAATACAACAGAAGAAGATGAAAATGAATGTAAATGCCTCTTCCACATTGTTTTTTTCATTTATCCTAACCCAAATGTCCTATCCCTAATGATTACATCACACACGTCTTGGCAAAGACATCTGAGGAAGTAGTGTTTCTTCCTGTCCTCCAAAATCTTATGATCTATACAGTCACTGATCACATGACACAGAAAGCCATCTTCCCTTGTTCATATCAGAGTGTTGCATAATATGAAAGACAGGTAAAATTGAAAAAAGCAATAAAACGTAAGTGAGGGATTGCAACATGGCTTTATGATGCTGCATTGTTGTGGGTGAGCAGCTTTCACATCTATAATGTGGGAAAGGGGACTTTTGCAGCTGTTCTCTGAAGCTTGCAAACCACCTCTGTTTTCATTTGACTCCAGCTGCTACACATTAAGAGCTGTCATTCTTGTAACAACATATGAGAGAACAACTCTGTGTGCACACTTTTAAGACTACAAAATCTATGTTGCAGTGCAATGACTGTGACAGCAAGTAAATTACAATATCTAGAAAAATGTCCATTTTTATCTAAAGCCAGAATTTGAGAACTCTGAATGAATAACACACAGCCAGATGCTGATTTCCATTATAGAAATAAAGCTTATCAATAAATACTAATATATGCATTTGGCATCTAGAATTGCCTGTATTCGTTGTTACCTGCAAAATGAATAAATGCTTTCTGTCTCTCTAGGAAGACAAAACCAGTGATGAGAGCAAATTACTTTTCTGAAGGGCCCCATGACTGCTTCAGAACCACTTAGCAATAAAGGCCCCCCCTGAGCTGTTTAGCTGTGGGAGTTGAAAGTGGCTGCAGGCCACATCACTTTTGTGCACATAGACTGCAGAAGTTGGATGGGCCCAAATAGCCTGTGTGAAGCTTTTGAAGGCATGCATTTAAGCCGAGACAAATAACTGCACTGGTTGGTACTGCCAAGCCAGTTTTGAATTCATGGCACAGAAGGGTCAGACTTAAGAGGAGACACTTCTCTATAAACATTCACATGCAGAAGCATAACGTGAGAGGCAGGCATCTCTCTTCACTTTTGGTGGATCATCCCCCCATCCCCCGCGCAGTGTTCCTTTTGCCAAAGGAAACAAGCTCTCCCAGGGCAAGCTTACTAGATGCTCACTGCTTTCTTTCTGCCAAAGCTGTGCCGCCAAGCTGTGTGGAATCATGCTGAATGAGAAAAGCTGGGGTACTTCTCATGTAAAACCGGCAGTACTAGGACTTTCCATTCTGTTCCCCTTTATTATGCCTACAAGTGCCTTGGCTCAGGAGCAAAACCGCTAGGTTCAAACAATGGTGAAACTTCACATAAAGTTCT